ATATTTCATGGATTTTTACAGATATTTTCCTTGCCAGCCTATTTACCACCTTGCTTATAAACATTTTTTCAGGGTTTGCTCATAATCACTACGATGTGTTATTTAATGGGGTGAAAATTAATGTTTGCAATTTTTTTCTATGCGTGGTTCTAAAAATATGCCTTTTTACACCTTGAATTCAAATCTGCTGTTATTTTTTGCAATTGCACAACCTTTAGCTAGTAAATCCATGTCTGATCATATACTGTACCCCACAAATACTCTGAACTTTATCTTCTCAAAATTACACCATGTGCTACAAAAAATAAAGTTTTTTCTCCATTAATCTTATCTACCCAAAAATAATCCATGCAATCATAAACTAACACCACAAAGCAATTATCTGAGTTACAAAAATGTTTAAGCGAGTTTCATCAAGTCTTTTTTTATTCGTTCTTCAACATCAGCTACCAACTTGCTTCTTGTACTCTGATGTAACCATGTTTCTCATGTGTATACACTCTGCTTGCTGCCTCTGTGACCTATTTCACACAGCTCTCTATTGCATGGCAGAGCCACTGTGGTACTTGCATTGGTTCATCAATGAACTTCTTTATTTTCACTATAGTCAGTCTGCACATCAAAGGTGACTCATATACACCTTCAGACCAGTCAATCAGCTCCAGCAGAGTGGATGCTCTGGCTTGGCCTCTACCCAGTGCATGGCACCACCTTCACAGCCAGTATTAACATTTGTAGAATCTCCTCCATTGGCCTTCACGCTTTTGTCAATGCCTTTCTTCTTCATGAAATACACCAGATTATCTGCAATCACATGAGCAGGTTTTGCTCTTTTGAGCCTTTCTATGGAATGAAATGATAAAGATACCTTCCACTCAGCCCACTGCATACAGAATAATGTTTTTCTTTGATGGTGCTGGGGAAATGCTGGTCTGAATTGTTTGCTGGGGAATTGCTGGTCTGAAAAGTTATGTTATTTACCAAGCACATCTAAATTATATTAAAGTAACCAAAATATCTTTACAATCCCCAAGGCATGTCACACCTTTTGAGCAACCCTAATGTTTGGAAATTGAAAGATGAAAAATTTGACATGCCCTAATAGTCTCTCATAAATTAGTAACTTCCCATTGATATTAGTGCAACCAATAGGGGTGTGCTTGAAGATAATAATAGCACTGAGACTTATATACCACTTCACAATGCTTTACAGCCCTCTCTAAATGGTTTACAAAGTCAGCATATTGCCCTCAACAATCTGGGTCCTCATTTTACCCACCTCAGAAGGATGGAAGGCTGAGTCAACCTTGAGCCGGTGAGATTTGAACTGCCAAACTGCAGGCTGCCAGCAGTTTGCAGAAGTAGCCTGCACTCTAAACACTGTGCCACCAAGGCTCATCAAAAGCTGCAATTGACTCAAGATGCATCCAGGTGATTATGGCTGCACCACAGGACATTCATGTAGCCACTATTTTTAGTGGTGCACTGCCTCCCAATAGACTTCTGGAACAATTCAACATTTACCACTACAAAGCCCAACATAGACCAGGTTGCTTTTGCACCCCTAATGCAATGTGTGTGTGACCCCCCCTGCCCTCCTGTGCATGTATGTGTGACCCCCCCCATGCTCCCCCTGTCCCCATGCATGCGCACACAACACCCCTGTGCACTCCCTGCAGCCCCCTGAGACCAAAAATGGGCCAAAGGTCCCACTCCCGCACACCTCTCGTGCATGTACATGCAATCCCCCCGCCCCTCCAAAAATCCAGCGGGAGACACGCACACCATGTGCTGTGGATCTCAGCTGGAATAACAGCTTGCGTGCCCTCAGAGAGGACACACGTGCCATAGGTTCACCATCACCAACCTAAAACATGGGTGTCAAACTTGCTGCATCACTTTGCCATCACATGATGTATCATAATGTTTTTCTCCTTCGTGGAGCTGGGGTGGGCGTGGCTTGCACATGATGCATCTGGCCCAAGGTTTGACACCTCTGACCTAAAAGAAAATAAAACCTAAAATGTACAACATTGGGGCTTCCCCAGATGTCCATATGAAAGTAGAAAGTAAGGGCTGATGTGATATGTGGCATGGTATCAGTGACATGCAGTCAGGGGAGGCAGGGAGGCACAGCCTCACCACTGTCAATCATGAAAAGGAAAAAAAATGTAAACGGGAAAAGGCGAGTGCTGAGGTTAGGCTAGCTAGCTGCTGCCACACAATGAATGACTGCCTGTTTAAAAAAGCCTCTAAAAAGCGCCCTCTACTACGAGGCAGGAGAACTGCATGCCTCATGTAGTCTGACTTTTTAGGCGCTCGAGCAGANGCAATGATACACTCATTCTTCTCTGGAAGACACAAGAGAGGGCAGGAGTGTTGCCCCGGCCATTAGGAGCTACAGTCAGCCTGGGTGTCCAGAGATCTGTGGGCGCAAGAAGGGCAAGAGAGTCCCTTGGGAGGTGGAATCCCATCTTCTTCACCCTTTCCTTCTGAGGAAGGGGCCTTCCAAGGATGAGACCTTCCATTTGAGGGCGGGAACCACTGTAGCTTTTACTCAGATTTGAATAAAGAGCAATGGGGAATTGCGGGGAGGGGGCGAAAGCTTCCCCTACGCACAAATAAGGCTTTTTAAGGGGTAGCAAGGTACTCAGATCAAGCAAGCAACCAGGGCCATTCGTGGACAACAAATATAAAACCGGCAACTTTATTGTCTACCACCTACATCCCTGATGGCAAACTTATGGCACGTGTGCCAGAGGTGGCACGCACAGCCCTCGCTGTGGGCACACGTATTGTTGCAAGCTGCTGTTCTGGTTTCCAGCACACACATACCTGCCAGCCAGCTGGTCTTCACGGGTGCCGGAGTGGTGGAAAATGGCCTGAAAATGGCCCGAAAAACAGCCAAAAAACAGGGCGTTTTCCGGGCCATTTTTGGCCCCCCAAAATGGCCTGATAATGGCCCCAAAAGGCCAAAAAAACAGGCATGCGTACTCCACCCAGCTGGTCTTTGGGTTTCTGGCACTCCAGCACATGCACACACATGCACACACAAAAGGTTTGCCATCACTGACCCATATTACAAGAATCCCACCAGACTTCTTGCTTTCATCCAGAGAAGACCTCATGGAATTGGGAGAAGATCAAGCCACTTGCAGCCATGTAAGGACTCCAAACTAGGTCCCCGTTTGACTCCTCCTTCCAGCCTGGCTGGCAGTTTCCCAACACTTTCAGGGATGGATGAGGGAAAGTTCCCCTTCCCCACCCCCACCCCATCATTTGCACTGATATCACCCAAACGTAAGCCTAGAATAAGAACCTCTTAGATCTGGATCAAGCTGCGTTTTCAACTGGAGAGGCTTAAAGCAAGTGGTGGAACCAGGGGCCTGGCAGGGGACACCCGGGAGTTCCGCAGTTACAGCTCAGCATGACCAAAATAGCAATAGCAATAGCACTTAGACTTATATACCGCTTCATAGGGCTTTCAGCCCTCTCTAAGCGGTTTACAGAGTCAGCATATCACCCCCAC